TTTTTAGTTTCAAACGTGCTCTGGAGCGCCGTGTTAGACGCGTTTTGGGGGTTCGAGGCTGAAGATGCTGATGCTGACCAGCTGTGAGTGCTGCTCTCTGATTGGACATGGAGCCATGTGACGCAGGCGGTGGCAGGAAGTGTGAGAAAACACGTTTCCCTGAATGTAGCTGTTCTGTTGTAGTCGCTCGTCAGGGCTATTAGAGGACATGTAACCATGGAAACGGTGTCACTGTTGCCACGGCGAGGCTAAAAGTTGATCTCGAATCTGTAGTTTCAGTCACGGCGAGCAGGTAACGGCCTGCTGGCCCGAGAGCAGGGCGCTCACACCTGTCAGTCAAAGAGGCCACGCCCCCAGCGAGGCAGCCTTTAAGCTTTAATTTGAACAGGTGACGTAATGACGGTGAGATTATCTGCAGAGGCTGTAAACACGTTGATGAGAGTTTGTTTGTTTGTTTTCAGGGGGTCATCCTGGTGTATGACATCACCAACCGCTGGTCGTTTGACGGCATCGACAGGTGGATCAAAGAGATCGACGAGGTGAGCCATCGCTCTCCTGTTATCTAACAGCTGACCGGTGATGTCACAAACTCTCTGACTGAGTCAAAACGGCGCCCACGCCCGCTGAGGCAGCGCCTCTTTAGGTCGCCGTACTTCAAACGGTTCCCTTTGCTTTAAGCTGCCTCCTCCCACCTGACACACCTGACACACCTGTAACACTGAGTGTGCTTAACGACCCACATCCCCCTTTCTGTTCCCCGTTTACCCAGCATGCCCCAGGAGTTCCTAAGATCCTCGTTGGCAACCGTCTGCACCTGGCCTACAAGCGTCAAGTGACCACGGAGCAGGCGCAGGTGTACGCCGAGAAACTGGGCGTCACCTTCTTCGAGGTCAGCCCGCTGTGCAACTTCAATATCACCGAGTCGTTCACGGAGCTCGCCCGAATCGTGCTGATGAGACACGGCATGGAGCGCCTGTGGAGGCCCAGTAAAGGTGTGCCATTAGCTCCGCCCCCTGCAGGTCTTTGATGCAGCTTTAAAGTGGGACGTTCAGCTCTGCGCTGCCCCCTGCTGGAGGCTCCGCCTCACTGAGGATTCACTCATCCCAACATCATCCTGCTTCCACTCTTTCCTGAAAAAACACTTTTTATTCCTGAAATATTCCAACTTTGTTTTTATTCGTCGCTTTATTAACACAACATTTATGTTTTTATTCATTTATTGCTAAATTAATGTTCTTGGAATATTTTACAACTTTATTCCTAAATTTTTATGACTTTAGTCCTAAAAAATTAGGAAATGTATCCAAAAACATGTTATTGTACAAATACATGATTCCATATTCAATGTTTCAATTTCCTAAACTTTTATAACTTTATTGATAAAGTTTCATGAAATACAATAAATTTATAATGATTCTGTTTTGATTGGTTCTTCTCTGTGAGCGCTGTAATCTGATTGGTTCTCTGTGTGTCAGTGCTCAGTCTGCAGGACCTCTGCTGTCGCTCCATCGTTTCCTGCACGCCGGTCCACCTGGTCGACAAGTTGCCCCTCCCACTGGCTCTGAAGTCTCACCTAAAGTCCTTCTCTATGGCCAACGGCCTCAACGCTCGCATGATGCACGGACGCTCCTACTCCGTCACCGCCAGCGCCCACTACGGCGCCACCAAGAGGACTGGGGGGGCGCTGCTGAAAAAGCCCAAACTGATCCGGGCGCCGCCCCTCAGCCCGTCGGCTCAGAGCTGCAGAAACAGCTGTAAAATCTCCTAACGACAGTTACGGCACCGCCTGCTCCAACATTTGAAGATGGCGTTTGGAAGTGAAGAATTCCTCACCAGAACCTGAACCGTGCTTCAGACTTCCTGTTTGGTGACGTTGGCTTTGCCACCTGTGAGCTGCAGGCGTCCAGTCATAGGTGAGGTGACATCACATGGTTGGAAAACGACAGTGACAGGAAAAACGCTCGAGCACGTCAGCCCGAAGTCTGAAAGCGTGACGTAAAGCTGCTCGATGCTCAGAAGACTGAGCGCGTTCAGCAGCCAATCAGAGCTGCAGACGCTGATCTATTCTTCCGGCTTTCTTCTGGTTTTTGTTACTTTTTTTATTTTTGAAACAGACTTTTTTTATTTACAGATTTTATAATAAAAACTTCAGTCAGATTTGTAAAATTCAGATTTCCTCCTTGAATCGTTCAGATGTGATTGGATCTGCAGGTGGGACAGTTTTCCACTCTGGGACTTCATTCTTGGAATTCTTCGGAGCCTCTGATTTCAGACTTCATGTTTGTTGATGAACTGAAACCGTGACCTTTGACACTTCCTGCGCTACATTTCCACCTCAGCGCTGAGGTTGTTTCCTCACCTGTACACAGAAGCACCTTGAAGCTGTGCTTTTGCACATCATTCTTCTTCACAAACGTTTTGTGTGCGATATTTGTACGTGTTGTAAATACGCCTGTTTGATATGAAGCTGAGGATGATGATGGTGATGATGAAGGAGGTGACTGTTAACCGTCAGTGTTTCAATAAAGTTGTCCACGTCACAGCGTGCACTTCCTGCTTCACGTGTTTTGTTTGTGTTGTGACATTAAAACGATGTTTGGAAGTTGTGTGTCTGTGTTGTTGCACACGCTTCTTTCTGGTTTTGTCTCGTAATCATTGTTTTCATCCAGTTTTGGTACTTTGTGCCATGTTGTTGCCTCACAGTTTATCATATGGTGAATTTGTGCGTTTCTGATTGTGTTTTTTTTGTCACCTTGTGTTAATGTTGGGTCTGTTGTGCTCACTCTTCATCTCACTGATCACATTTCATTTTATCTGCTCGTCTTTGTGTGTTTGCTGGTTGTGCTGCTGTGTTTGGTTTGTGTCTCTGTGATGATAATCACATGCATGTCTGACGTCACAGAGGAGTAAATGAACGCGCTGGTGGCTCTGACGTCATCATCAGATGAAAATCAGACGCTAATTTGTTTTTGATTGAAATTGAATATTACTTAAACTCTCTTAAATTAACCTCCAATAAAAAAGGTTTATCATTGATTGAAATTCATTCAGAAATGTTTAACGAATGAATCACAACTTTCAAGTACAAAGTTGTTATGAAGTCTGTCACATTCCCCCCTTTATTTGTTTATCCTTCTTATTTCATTGTGCTGTATATTGTTACTCTTATTTGCCCTGTGTGTCTACTGTACAAACTGAACTGGAATGACTGACTGTTCCCTTTATAATTTCAATAAAGTTTGGGAAAAAAAAGATGAAAATCAGACGCAGGGCGCCTCCAGTCCAGCAGGGGGCGGGGCGGAGCCGCGGCGCCGTCGTCAGAGGAAGAGGAGGAGGTTTGTGTTGCCAGCCTGGCTGTGAGGATCGCTGAGACGAGGCTGCGCCTGAAGCTGAAGCTGTTCTCGGACACAAACTCGGTGAGAGCAGAAACCCTCCGGTCCTCACCGGAAGCTGACAGAGGCGACGGTTCCGGTTATCCAGAAACTTCTACGGTTCAGACTCTTTACTCTGACCTGAACAGAGACAGTCTGTCAGCGAGACTGCGCACAGGTGAGCCCAGCACAGGTGAGTCACAGTAAAGGGGGCTTCGGTGGGTTTGTGTGGTCGTAAAAGTGACGTGACCGGCCTCACTTCCGGTCACGTACTGTCTCAGAGCTGCTCCAAACACTCAGTTTAGACAGCCTTCTCCACTCTGGACCTGTGTGACGTCACAAAGCTGCACCGCTGCAGGTGTGTCAGGTGTTCAGCGAGCTGAGACTCAGTCAAAGAAGGCTGACTGTGAGTCTGAATCATGCAAAGCTGCTTCTGCCTCGTTCAGGGTCTCACCCTCGCCTTCCAGAGACTTCCTGGTGACCTTTGGCCCCCAGCTGCAGAGCCCTGCAGGTGAACTTTGACCTGTTGAGAGGCGCAGATGGAGCTCTTTAAGCAGAAGCGTCCAGTCACAGGAAGTGGCGTCTGGTTTCTTGGCTGTCTGCTGGTTTGGGACTTCCTGTCACTGGGCCAGAGTGTGTGTGTGTGTGTGTGTGTGTTTCATGCTCTTCAGCACGAGCTCAGCACTCCTCTTTGTCCTCTCCTGGCTCCGCTTGTGTAACTCACAGGAGGATGACGGCTTCCTCCTCAGCAGCACCGACGCCACGTTTCAGACACGTCGCTGCTTCAACCTGTGACGGGAGACGGAGCGAGCGTGTGGGCGTGTCTTGATGTTTTTGTGTGCTGAGCGCTCTGACTTCAGTATCAGTACCTGTAACGCTTCAACATGGCGTTGGTGTGATGTCAGCACTGACGCCTGGTTTCTGCCCGTGTGTGCAGGTACGATGGCGCTCTGTGGGTGGTGGTTAATCCACTTCCTCGTCTTCACTTCCTGCTCAGCTCACGACTTCTTCACCTCCATCGGTGAGTTTAGCCGCTCTGTATCGTAGCGTGGAGGTCCTGCTGAGCGTGTGTGAGCGGTGGTTTCTTTTTCGCAGGTCACATGACGGACCTGCTGTTCACGGAGAAGGACCTGGTCACCTCGCTGAAGGACTACATCCGAGCGGAGGAGAGCAAACTGGAGCAGATCAAAAAGTGAGTGTCGCCGCTCGCCGTTAAACACTCCGCCTCCTAGGTTTACTTTGCTGTCATGATCTGCGACACACTCTCACCTGTGCAGGTGTGTAAGCATGCCGTGTGTGTTCAGGTGGGCAGACAAACTGGACGTCCTCTCGGCAGCTGCCACTCAGGACCCCGAGGGCTTCCTGGGTCACCCGGTGAACGCCTTCAAGCTGATGAAGAGGCTGAACACGGAGTGGGCGGAGCTGGAGAGCCTGGTGCTCACCGACGTGTCCGATGGTGCGACGCAGAAATCCGATCATTCAGCTGCTGGACGTTAGGACAGAATCGTTTTCATTGTCCTCCTCCTTCTTCTTCTGTGGTGTTTCAGTGTTCATCTCCAACCTCACCATCCAGAGGCAGTACTTCCCCAACGACGACGACCAGACCGGCGCTGCCAAAGCTCTGATGAGACTGCAGGACACCTACCAGCTGGACACCAACGCCATCTCCACCGGCGAGCTCCCAGGTGTGTGAACCACCTGCTCTGCCTCACAGGACAGAGCGGGCGGTCCGAGTTTAGAGAAGACGCTCAGGAGGAGAACAAATGTTTCTGAGCTCTCGTCGTGTCTGAAAGTCAAATTCAACCGTGCAGCTTCAATAACAGGAACATGAGTGTAAATGCTCCTGCTCTCTCTCGCCTCCTCAGGCTCCTCCTCCACCTCCTCCGCCTGGAGCACTCTGACCGTGGACGACTGCTACGACCTCGGGAAGGTGGCGTACTCGGAGGCGGATTACTACCACACCGAGCTGTGGATGGCTCAGGCCCTGAGGCAGCTGGACCAGGGCGAGACGTCCCGCGCCGTGGACGCCGTCACCGTCCTCGACTACCTGAGCTACTCCGTGTACCAGCAGGGGGAGCTGGAGAGAGCGCTGGAGTTCACCAGGAGGCTGCTGGACCTGGGTTGGTACCTGCAGACGGCGCTTTAGTTCGGTCAGACGTGCTGCTGTCGTTTTAAAGAGTTAGAAAAGGAGCAAAGCTGAGTTTCTTCTCACATCTTCAGACAAATGTGCAGATTTGGTTATCTCGTTGTTTTTCTGCCCGTTAGATCCGACGCACCAGCGAGCCAACGGGAACCTGAAATACTTTGAGTACCAGCTGGCCAAACAGAAGAAGGTGGAGAAGGTGGAGGAGAAGGAGGAGGACAGCAAGGTGAGGCAGAGGAGGGAGAGCAAAGACGACTACCTGACTGAGAGGAAGAAGTACGAGCAGCTGTGTCGCGGCCAAGGCGTCAAGCTGGTGAGGCGAGCGAAACAAGCGCACCTCTGACAGTCGTTCATCGGCGTCACTTCAACCTCTGCTTCCTGTCAGACTCCCCGCAGGCAGAGCCGCCTCTACTGCCGCTACTATGACAACAACCGGCACCCGCGGTACGTGATTGGCCCGGTGAAGCAGGAGGACGAGTGGGACAGCCCGCACATCGTGCGCTACCACGACATCGTGTCGGAGAAAGACTTGGAGAAGGTGAAAGAGCTGGCCAAGCCCAGGGTGAGTCCGAGCGCCTTTTACTCACGCGCTGCTGCGGAGCGTATCCGGGGTCGGACGCCATTAGTGCTTTACCAACGCGAGGGGCGGGGCTAAATGTCAGTATTCAGAAATATCGCTCCCCGTTAAGTCGCTGTATATTACAGTTTTTATGGAAACATGTTTATGATTACTTCCCTCGTCCAGTAGGCGGAGCTTCAACTGTCAGTTTTTGTGGCTGAATGTCGTCGCGGTTACGCCTGCTTGCTGCTCGGTAACCGCGATCGGTCGTGTTGTTGTTCACGGTTTACAGTGAAGAAGAGCCGCGCGAGCAGAAACTCAGGTCAATGTTTCTGTCGTGTGGATGCACAAAATTTACCTCGGCAACAGTGAATGCTGTTATCTGATTGGCTGTCGTTAAGCCGCGATGAGCTCTGTAGAGAAATGAAATAATTATATTGAGATTAGAAAGAATTCCCGTCCACACCTCAGTGCAGCTTTCAAACATCCATCATCACAAACTGCTTCCTGTTGGCCGGCGGCGCCCGTCAGCGAGCGGCGGCTGTCTGTGACCCAAGTGCTCATTTTTAACTTGTAACCCCGTGACACGGGTGCTGTCAATCATTAATCTATGCCCCGCCCCTACCTCTTGATACACGCCCACAAAATCAGGATCAAACGTCTAAAACTGAAAAAATTAATTTAAAGCCAAAACTGTAGTTTGAGCCTCGTCAGTGAGCGATGAAGAACGGTGACAGGTGACGGGCGGGCGGTGGGTGGAGAGGATCACGAGGTCGTCCGTTGTGCGGCTGTGTGGTGCGGCTCCTCCGTCGGTGTCGGTCGGCGTTAGTCGGTGCTTCGGGCGTCGCTCTGTGTCTGCCTGTAACTGTCGGCCGATTGGCTCCACAGCTCCGTCGAGCCACCATCTCTAACCCCGTCACCGGCGTGCTGGAGACGGCCCACTACCGCATCAGTAAGAGGTAAGAGCTGCCGGGGCAGGAGGCGGCGTCCGCGGGGTGGACCTCACCTCTCTGCCCCCAACACCACCCTGTCCTCCCCCCTCTGTGATGGCGGCCGTCCCGGTGAGAGCAGAAAAGGCAACGAGTCGCTTCAAACAAACGAATAAATAAAATGTTCCTTCCTCCAAAGTGGAATTTAAACGTCACAGAAGGAAGAATCGGGATTATTATTACAGACTTACAGCCTCCAACCGTCACAGCTGACGCTCCCCAACAATCTGAAACATAAAAGACTTCAGTTTTATAAAATCCAGTAAAACAGCTGGTTTTACCTCTGTCCTCCCACCAGGGGGCGCTGCAGCACAGAGAGACAGGCTCGGCTGTAACTGTCATCAGCTCAATCAGTCCCACCTGGGCAGGTGTAAAAGGCCACATCAGAGTAGATACCAGAAGGTCCTGTAACGCTGAAGGAACAGTTAATGCGTCTGCTTTCAGGCTCTGGCTCTGCTCTCGCCGGGATTCGAGCCTCCGCTTGTTTCCTTTGCTCATTCGGGGACAGGAAGTCAAACATTTAAGACTCTCGATGTTGCTTTAACGTTTTCGTGGAGGCAGCAGGAGGATTCGTGTCTCATACCTGTGCTTCTCACTGTTACCTGCACATTGTTATGTAAAATAACAAGCGTCTGCAAACCTTTCAAAATAAAGTTCTGAAGTCAGACAGTATGTTGACCTGTCAGTGCGTCAGCTTCGCAGAAATACTTTCTAAAGTAGTTACTGTAAAACTACGGCAGGTACTGCAGTATTACTGCGTGTTTTGTGTATGACGCTGGTGTAGTTACTTCATAAGTAAAACATCAACTTGAGGTTGAGATTATTTTCAGATTCAATTATGGCAGAATATCGATCCCATAACCTTCTGTTTGTGAGGGGCAGCCAATCAGAGGAAAGTTGTCTGAAGGTGGGAGGAGCTAAAGCAGCTTGTCAAACATCCTGAAGGTTGACCACGTGCACTCCATGTCCTCTTCATTAGGTACACCTTGTTGGCGCTCTTTAACTTCACGTGTACCTAATGAAGTGGCCTTATGTGGCGTTTGAAACTCGTGCTGCCTCCCTGACTGCAGCGTGTGGATAGTGACCGTCCTCTCTCTGTCCTCTCTCTGTCTCTCTGTCTCTCTCTGTCCTCTCTCTGTCTCTCTGTCTCTCTCTGTCCTCTCTCTGTCCTCTCTGTCTCTCTGTCTCTCTCTGTCCTCTCT